CATCTTCTCCTTCAGTCTGCTCACTAAGAACAAAGCTCTTTTGGGCTCCAGATAATACGGAATGTAAAAAAAAATAAAAAAATAAAAAAAAAAGAGATAAAGGGGGAGAAAAGAGCCCAAAAGCATTTGTTGGATCTTATTTAAACGCTTCTATTCAGTTCTGCTATGTGTATCATTAGGTTCAAGCACACTTTTTGGCACTTTAACGTTAGAAGAGCCAAAGGAATTCTATCACTTGCTGAGATGTCAGTGATTCAAAGCCTGCATTATACTTTTATATTAAAACAATTCAAAGGAAGGAAGGAAAGTTAAATAATACTAATTATTAGTATTAGTATTAGATTAGATAATTTTGGAATTATTTAATGATATTTACGTTAATATTTGGTTAGCTATTTAATAAATAATATTTTGTATAATTAAGACATAATTAAGAACACATAGTAAAGCTAATTCAAAAGACAAAATATGTCATGTTGAATATGCTATAAAATATTATAAAATAAAAATGGAAATGTGAAATTAGATGGTTGTCACTGTATTTTGAAAATTACATTATGCATATTCTGAGTTTGTCACATGTTCTGAGACGTAAAATTGTACATTACCAAAAAAAAAAAAACATCTCCAAACGCCTATATTTTTGCAGATTATGGAAATAAATGCAATGCTTCTACATGCCAAACACTGATTAAAATTAACTGTTTATAATTTTACTTGGCCTAAACTTCACAATATAAAACTTTGCTAAATCCAATAATAAACTAACTGATTCATTTGCTTAATTCTTGTAATCTTGCAAATTAATTCAAGCTTGCAACAACTAACTTGAGTAAGTGATCTCACACAGTTTGATGTGGTGTATATAAATTGTGGGCCAGGGTTAGATGCACCAAATTCAAGTGCACTAAGTTTTTTTTCTCATTACTTCTATAAGATTTATTATTATTCTTAATAAATACTGCATAGGGAAAAGTAATGTTTTACTGCTTGATTAATTTCTGTAAGATGTTAAGGAGTGTCATTCAGACCAGTTAGCACTGTGGCCAAATACTAGTCAAGAATTAAAAAACAAAACTAAAAAATAAATATTAAAAACCAAAAGGGCTAGTTAAAAGTGTTAATCTTAATTGAACTTAATCCTACTACATGAATATTCAGTGCTGAAATTAAGTAGCAAGTATTCACATTTTCTTGAAAAAGTTTCAGGCAGGTTACAAATCCACAATATTAGAGCAACACACAATTCATTTAAGGTGTAGCACTCTACAATTAACTTAACTTCTTAACCATTACAGAACAAAGTCATATAAACCATAAGATGACTGGAGATTCCCACAGCAAATATCTGTAGGACGTTCTTTTATTCCAACAAAAACGTCTAATTTTTAGAACTTAAATGAAAATTAAATATTAAGTCAAATGCATTCCAATCACATCGCTGTAGAAATATGAATCATCATTCATGACCATGATTTCGTTTGACTTGGTTTAGGAGTAAAAACAATGTTTGTGTAATTAGATCAAACTCAGCGTGATTCTAACAAACGAGCGAGAAATAAAACTCCCCGCGGGCTCTCAGATGGGCTTAACAACACAACCCCCGACACTCGTTCCTCTCACTGTAAACACACACCCGGTCGCGACGGATCGATGCTCTGAATGGCCTCATTTAGCGCAGCGCTATATCTGCAGAGCTTCTCGTGAGCCTGTCGGTAACACAACTGTGATGAGAGCTGAACTCATACAACATGAAGTCTGGCTTGATAAGAGACTTCAATTACACGCCGAACAATCTGTCCTCTCGAAATTATTCATCCTATACGCTACGCTGCCGATGAGATGCTGCTCAGATTCTCCAGCGAGAACTGAGCAACGATGGGGAAAAAAGATGTTAAAAATTGTAAGCATTTTAAGAAAGTTATTTTAATGAATGCAATGCATGCAGAGAGCGAACGGAAAGCAACTGTGTTCATGTCTATAAAGGCAAGGAAATAAAATCCAGAAATACTACGCACGCACACACACACATACAAAACACAAAAGGAAATTACGTGCATCAAAAGAATACACACAAGTAAATAAACACATTTGTTTCTTTAAGAAAAATTAAAGACAATGTACGAATTCAGCTTTAACTGTAAGAGAAAAAAATGTCAGCCCAACTTTATTTTTTTATGCGCTTTTTATTATTTTTATAAATTGTATTAAGTGCATGCAGAAGTTAAATCGTGAATATCTTCTGTAAATAACACATGTGCAGGCTGCTCATACATCCGCACTGGAGCGTTTCTAAACCCCAATTCATTACAGCTCACTGCCATCTAATTACAACAACACCGAGTAACATATCAGTCTCTAAAAGCGTTTCATTACGCTCCTAATTTTACTGACCATAAGCGCTATGAGAAATTAAAAATAAAACTCTATCTAGAGTTAAACGCTGTCATCTGTAAGACCCTTGATTGTGTTGCAATTGTATACGAACAGACTGAAGAATTAGAAAACAGTTCGGCCAATCTGGATCAGCATGTTTTTGGTATTGTCACAATATTACAGAAGCTACATCTCCACTACCATGCGACCATGAGCGCGCGCACACACACACACACACACACACACACACACACATGTTTGATCGATTTAAAGCAGTATCCAGCTTTTTGAGTATAAAATGAAATTGCGGTGGAAGAATACAACAACTTTGTTTAATTTAAGTTTTTAAAGACCATAATTGAGTTCTATGTAAAAAAAAAAAAACACCTAACAAACATGCATTAAAAAATTAGTATATTTTCACCGTACGATCAAAAATACACACAGTGAAATAACAAGCTCCCAACATGTCAAATCGTTGTAATGTAGGTTAAATAAAGTAAAGGCTTGTAGGTTAAATGCGTGCTCTTAATGCGGTCTGTAGAGCCTAACCTGAAGGCGCCGCGGCTCGAGCGCTGGATGTTCAGGAGGAGAGAGTCTCTTCAGCGCACCGAGGCTGCGATTGGCCAACTGCACTGACAGCTCCCCCGCTGATTGGCCAAGAACCGATGCCCGTCCCCTTTTCACTCAAGCTAGAGGACCATTCATAAACTAAACAATTCCAACACTCAGGGCTGAGTCTGGACAACTGCACACTGGCGCGCAGTTTTCACGCGCAAACACAAGTGAGAGAGTCGTGACATGACGCGCGGAGATTTATCCTGCAGCTGATACTGGCTTAAACCCTTAAAACCTTTTCAACTCGAGTTGTTAAAGTCGCACTGCGTTGCACCATCCGTTTCCTGGTCCAAACTTGACGTCTATCCGCTGTGGGCGCTAACTTCATCACTTCATTTTTTTTCTCTTTGCTGGGAGTTTTCACCGGTAAGCATTGGATCCATCGGCGTACTGCGAAACTCCGGTCTACAGTCCGGATCTGTGCCCCAATATGATTGCAACGCAAGCAAAGCTGGTTTACCAGCTTAATAAATATTACAACGAAAGATGCCAGGCGCGCAAAGCGGCCATCGCCAAGACCATACGAGAGGTGTGTAAGGTGGTGTCGGACGTGCTGAAGGAGGTGGAGGTTCAGGAGCCCCGCTTCATCAGCTCCCTGAGCGAGATAGACACGCGCTTTGAGGGCATGGAGGTCATCGCGCCCAACGAGTTCGAGGTCGTGCTTTACCTGAACCAGATGGGAGTCTTCAACTTCGTGGATGACGGCTCTCTGCCGGGCTGCGCGGTGCTCAAACTCAGCGACGGCCGTAAGAGGAGCATGTCCCTGTGGGTGGAGTTCATCACCGCCTCCGGTTATCTGTCAGCGCGAAAGATCCGCTCCCGCTTCCAGACGCTGGTGGCCCAGGCCGTGGATAAATGCAGCTACCGGGACGTGGTTAAGATGGTGGCGGACACGAGCGAAGTGAAACTGCGCATTCGGGAGAGATACGTGGTGCAGATCACCCCGGCCTTCAAGTGCACGGGCATCTGGCCTAGAAGTGCCGCTCAGTGGCCCATGCCTCACATCCCGTGGCCCGGGCCGAACCGGGTGGCGGAGGTGAAAGCGGAGGGTTTTAACCTCCTCTCCAAAGAGTGCTACTCGTTAACGGGAAAACAGAGCTCGGCGGAAAGCGACGCCTGGGTCTTGCAGTTCGCCGAGGCCGAGAACAGGCTTCTGATGTCGGGCTGCAGGAAGAAATGCCTCTCTATTCTAAAGACTCTCCGCGATCGACACCTCGAGCTGCCGGGACAGCCGCTCAATAACTACCACATGAAGTCCCTGCTGCTGTACGAGTGCGAGAAACACCCGCGGGAGACTGACTGGGACGAGTCGTGCCTCGGCGACCGTCCTGCTGAAAGAAATGCTTAGACAATGTTTTGCAACAAACAAACAAATAAATAATCTACTAAAACCCATATAGCTATTTTATTCTGACAACCATTTTACTTCACAATTCTGTTACTATAGTAAAAACAGCCCAATATTATTAATATAGATTTTAGGAAAACAACTTTATTGAAAGCAAGATATGCCAAGTGCATAAATAGAAAAGGAATTTGATAGTTAAGGAAATATTGAAAGTTGATACTTTGCTCTTCCAAAGGCAAAACAAAAGTCCTAGTGAATCAAGCATTCAGAAGAACGTAACAAATTAGCTCATCCTCTTCTGTGCCTTAATAGTCAGGGTTTTCGGTGGCACACCTCAGCGACAAGCCAACGGTGATGGCAAGTTACACTTCAATAGCCTTGACCCACACACGTTAAAAACAGTTGAAACACATGCAACATAAGGAAAGAGAAAGCAATATTTTCTGCAAGATAAGATGACCACAAAAAGCTAGTACTCAAACCATTCGAGGAAAGGTAGTTATATATTTAAAAAAAAAAAACTAATAAAAATACACATACTGGAGTTGTGAATGCACGTTAAAGGACTTTGGTTATACTACAGCTATAGTCGCTCCATTTTTTAGTGTGCACTGCTCATGGGACAATTGGAGTCATTTTGGATGAGAAACCCTCTTACCTTGGGATCAATGTTCTTAAAACTCGGGTCTTCTTCATCCACCTCAAAGTATAACTCCAGGGCCGTGATGGACAGTGTGCCTTTTACCACTACAGCGGGTGCAACCAACAGTGCGCTGGTGCTCAGGTTAACAGGCCCTACGGATCACAGAAGAGCACAGCGGTTAGTGTGTGTGTGTGTGTGTGTGTGCGCGCGCCTCCCCCATCCTCGGCTGCCCTTGGCATAGAAACCCTTTCAAAGGAGTACTGAGTGTTTACTCGAACACATAAACTCAACAAGGGTGCATACTGACTTCCTGATAGAACATCTTTAGTTTTTAATAAGCTTCAGAGGAAAAGCCAAGTAAAGCTACATTCATTTGAGGATAATAAAGATGAAGTCAAATGATCACTCAATAATAAACACTAGACACAATATAAATATATTGCTTTAGGCTTAATCTATACTTTATTGCATGCAATTTATTAACAAAACATCATAATATTACAACTTTCTTATTATTATCGTTTAGGAACTAAACATGGAAAAAAAAATTCAGATTTGTTAAATGTAAACAAATACATTAAATGCATATATTGAACAATTAATTAAAATATATAGTATTTAAAAAAAAAAAAAAAAGCAATTTCATTAACCTAATCCATAAATAGGATTATCTCGTGCACAACGGCATATTTAAGCGCTTCATGTGTCATAGAAACGCTATTGTCGCAATGTCAAAAAAGCGCTGAAATCCGCTGTCAATCAGCGCTCATTGATTGCGGCTTTGGGTTTAATCTGTCATCAATCTTAATTTATGCCAGCATGACAATGTTGAAGGGTTGCTCTGCCTCTCTACATGCGCAAAGCATCGGCTATGCGCCTGCAAACTGCCGCTGCACTCCGTGTTTGATTTCCCAAAGCACCCTTCAATTCACAAACGCATGGCACGATCAGATAAGTTCATCAGCACGAAACACGGCTGAGACACGACACGGGGTTTTTCTGAACACGTTTCAATTACACCTCAATCAAACAGCTTCCTAAATGGATGATCTGCAACGACACGAATCTCCACGATCATCTGCACTTTATTTGAGAGAGACTGTCTTTTATTGTAGGACAGACTGCCAGCCCAAATGAGATAAAAACATTTTTATAAACGCGTTAATGGGGGAAAAAAAAAGCATGAAATAAAATTAAATTTATCTATGTTCGGCTGAACAGATTATTAAAGAGTACACTATAAAACATATTAATATAAATATAACAATTGTGTTGCGCATTTTTGTCACTGTTAGAAGCCTAAAACAGTCTCGTTTAAGACATTTATATTTTCACTTCATCACTGAAAAATATGAGATCTAAGTATGAACGTGGTTTTTAACTCAATTTCTAATAAAATTAACAATTTTCTGCTTGTAGCCGTCAGCAATTAGACTGCAATAAAAATGTGATCAGCTAATGTAACGAAAGCAAGACATTTACGCATTGCGTTTCAAAATATTTTCATTTATATTTTACCCCGACTTTATTTATATAAACTGTATATGTAAAACGAAAATAATGTATACGTTGTTTTAAAGCAGGGACTAGCTCACTGAGACTCCTGTCATGTCTGTGGGCCTTCCAGCGCTGTTCAGCCCTCACTCCTCCGATCACAGGCCGCTAATGAGCGAGGACCGCCTCAGATAATGCTGTGATCCCCTCATTAACGCTGACGCGCCAGAGCGCGACGCGGTGACAACACGCGGAGCCTCCAGCGCAGAGCGCGTCGTTCAGAGTCACAGGCGCGTTGCGTAACACACGCATGCAGCGTATATCAGAGCGTTCTAGCTTGTCGTGGCGCGTCGCTAGACTGCAGTTCTTTACCTGTGAGGTTCTCCAAGTCCTTCTCCTCCAAGGATGAGAGAGTGTCATCGTCCTCCAAGAGCAGCTCACTCTCTGAGTTCTGATTCCCCAGCACTGAACTCCTGATGGACTGTTTGCCTTTCAGCACGTCCTCCTCTGGAGCTGCACAAAACCAAACACATCAAATTCCTTCAAGACAAGCTTCACCGCGCAAAAACTTGAAACGACTGTCAGTTTACTTCTAACTCGGGTAAGTTGACTGCACAAGAGCTAATAAAGAAATAATTTACAAGATGCGCTGGTTGTTATTATACAATACAGCCATATGATTTTTTAAATATTTTATAATACAATTCTAAACAATGAATAAGCACGTGTTAAGCGCAATATGTAATGGATTTTTTTTGTCCTACATGGCCTCGAGTCAACATAACAACAACACATCAAGACTATACTAGCCCATTTATTTTTATTTGTTGGATCCGAACTTACATTTTTTTACTTGCATTGTTAATAGTTTGAATATTTAAACATAATGACGGCAAATAGAATTGTCGTGGAGAAATTAATGCGTATTTGAAAACAAAAATAATAAAGTCGATTTTTGTGAAAAAGGTGTAGCTGAATTTTCACCAAAACCAGATTGTTATTTAGGACATGGTTGTTTTACCTGATAATCAGAAATAATAAAATAGCTTTCAAATCAAAGAAAATACACATTCAGCTGACCAAAGTGCGTGCCCATAATAGATTTTCTGATTCTATTAGTAAAGAAAATCTAAAAAGGATATGCTTGTGTATGGGCTTTATATTCATTTATAGATTTAAAGTCTAAAAACCTAATATATATATATAATAACATAACTACTTGTTGGCATTAAAACTTTTTGAATTGCAATTAAACCGAAACAGACATTCTGGTTCATAGGCTAAGCTTACTCTGACAAAAATCAGGAGTGGCCCTGTCTGATTTCAACTGTACATGACTTGAGGTTCTGCATAGATTATTTAAGAAAAATGGTAATCTGTAAACATTTACAGAGCACTGCATTCCCAAGTGGTGAGGGGCAAAAACGGGTCTACAGTAGAAACAAAGGAATGCGTATTTGAAAACAAAAATAATAAAGTCGATTTTTGTGAAAAAGGTGTAGCTGAATTTTCACCAAAACCAGATTGTTATTTAGGACATGGTTGTTTTACCTGATAATCAGAAATAATAAAATAGCTTTCAAATCAAAGAAAATACACATTCAGCTGACCAAAGTGCGTGTCCATAATAGATTTTCTGATTCTATTAGTAAAGAAAATCTAAAAAGGATATGCTTGTGTATGGGCTTAGTATTCATTTATAGATTTAAAGTCTAAAAACCTAATATATATATATAATAACATAACTACTTGTTGGCATTAAAACTTTTTGAATTGCAAATGAACAAATATTAACATAGATAGATAGATAGATATCAGACAGTATAAGAATAAAGAAAAAGAAACATGAAAATTAATATATGTATGTCACTAATATCATTTAAAAAAAATTTAAACCAAATTTTCTTTTGGCTTTAAAATGACATGTATTCATGTATTCTGCACATTCACTTAAATAATGCTGTTCAATCAAACATCAGATACCTAGTAGACTAAAAAAATAATTAATAAATACTGGATATAGTATAAAATAGTTAATAAAAACTGGAATGAAGAACAACTGTGCGAGTGCCCTAAACGAGTCAAAAACCCATGCTGTAAGATTATATTCATACATCAGCTTTACTTAAATAACTCATTCATTCCCCTCATTCAGCAAATGCTAATGTAAATACATGCAGTTGCGTTACACTTTTAAGCTCTGTTTCCCTTTTCCTTGCAGGTTCAAATGCTCATTTATATGCGACTTCGGAGGCAAAGCAGTTAAATTGTCAGAATTAACAAATTTGTTTTTAACACAAGAGCAGCCAGGAGTGAAGTCAGGAGCGTATTGATCACAGGAACAGAGACATTAGTCTTCAGGTATTTACACTCCTACGAGTTGCCCAACACCAGCCCACACCAAGCCAAATCAATCCCCAGAAAAGATGGCGCTTTCCAGCCATAAATACATATCTTACCAAACTACCAGCATCCGCCTTAGGGGTGTAAATCGTACCGCTGTTTCCTGGCTGGCGATGAATGATCGCAGTTGTGCATGCCAAAAAAGGAAGTTTTGATATGATGATGTATTTTGAGGGATGAAACTAAAATAATTTGCAAGCAAGCCTTTCTATATTCATCAAAAAGAAATGCCGTTTCTTTTAAATGCCAGGACACCGCTGTTATTTAAAAAATAAAAAATAAAAAAATATATATTAAACTGTGATGCCTTATACGTCCAAATGCCTAAATGTAAATTGTATATTTTTTCTGCCAACTAAATTTTAAGTATAGAGAAAAGCCAATGTATGACTATTGGATTGCCAAAAATGTCACAAAAATGCTCTTAAAAAAAAATTCTTTACTTTCTCTTTCAGATGTCATGAGAATAATCACAGCCAGATATGACCCTTGTGCTCTGTTTGAAAACTTGAGATCTTGGCCAAGACTTTCATTCCACTTCCGCAACAAATTTAGGGTCAGCAGAAAAGATTCAAGCTTTCCATGGAGGAGGGAGTAGATAAACATCAGTGTCATGAGCATCAATTAACTGCTTTCTGTTGCTGGTTCACTTTCCATAATCACATCTTATTTTGAGTTAAGAATCATATACTTCATTACAATACTAAATTATTGATTAAATATGCACTTGAGTCATAATAGTTTGTGCGTGTGTGTGTGTTTATCCACTACAGGTTTTTAGGTAAAGTTGTCAGACAATTAATATATGCACATAAATACTTGATGGACTGATTATTTCCTGCGCTGGATGGTCAGTGGGGAAGCGTTCGAGAATAATGAAGAGTTTTAAGGCCTCAAAGTTTTAGGTTCCATTTCAAAGGGGATCCAAAGTGTTCCTTAAGGAACACTTGAACTTAACCAAGTCTGAAGTTAGCAAAAGAAAAAGAGAAGAATACAGAGAAGAAAAAGTGGAGGACGGAGCAAAAAGAGAAATCACTGGGTCCCCTCAGGGCCCTCCATCCAGCTGCATATTATGACCATTAGGGCGGCACATTGGTCTCTGAGGATGCTGGGATTCTGAGCACTTATTGCTTTTAGATCACATTCTTATTGACTTCTGTCACATCGGTCGTTTGTCTTGAGGACCCGTGTCATTCTGAGGGGGTCTAAGCAGTGACATATTGGAGACATTTTTTCTCAGAAACGGCCCCGTTTCCGAGGGGTGCAATAGGTTAAGCTGCTCAAGCCCAAGTACTGAATGGCACTGATCGTAATGCCTGCTATCTCTCAGTGTGGCTAAAAACTCTTCAGAAAGAAAAGATTATTCAGGAGTCTGCAAAAGATTTTAACTCTCACATGCTGTATACGCATTGCTGCACTGAAGCAGAGCTCAGTTTAACATAACGAATACAAAAGAGAGAGGAACGGATTAAAATCAGATGAACTTGCTGTACATCTCAATGCAAGGTGATTCTTCTTATTAAAGTGTGTAATTAAAAATGCATTGATTCATTCTGCATTCTGCAAAAAAGAAAACTACATTGCAACAATATTATGCCTACATATGCACTGATTCAAATCTCTACATAGAAGACCTAAAAATATTTAGTTAAAAGTTGCCGCTCATTGCTGTTTTTAGTCACTAATACTTTGTGAATACACACACAAGTGTTTAATGCTGTCACCCAAAATTACCTTCATTCATTTAAAAATCCTTCTTGTTTGTGAAGCAGAGAAATACTGCTCTAAATTAAATAAAAACTATATATCGGATACATACATATTTTAAGACATTGCCCCCTTATATAGATGCAACATAGTAATTATGTTAGTAGCATGTAGTGTAGATAAACTACAACAACAATACTCGTTTGTAAAAGTAGTTAACATCTCTAAATGATGAGTAGCTTGTCATTTTTAAACTAAAATCCCCAACACTGATGCACACATATCTAATACAAACACAAAACCCTTTGCTGCTAGCTCTCCCACGAACTTCACAACTTTACTCACCTTTAATACCAGCAGCTGACATGCATGGGAAGGAAGGAACACATAGTGACAATTTAAGAACAATTAGTGCTACTTAAGTATCTGAGCTAATGAAGGAAATTCACATGGTAAGTAAACACATTAGCAGCAAATTACTGCCATAATATTATCAGAGAGACAAGGCCTGAGGACAGTGAGAGAATGTAATGTAATGCAATTTAATTTAATACAGGTTTTACGGTGACTTCAGCTTTTATTGTTACAGCCATGTACCTGTTATCATGGGTAAAAGCTGGGCTGTGTTTTGTGCGTGAAAGAGTGTAAGTGCATGCATGATGTTCTGTGACTATGCATTACCCACCATGCTCTGCTGCAGCCTTGAGCGTGGCCTCAGAGTGTGTGGATCCAAATGGGTTCCTGATGAAGCGCCGACGTCTCCTCAGGTCATCCTCCCAGTAGTCCAGGCGCCAGAACTCCCGCGGTCTGCTGCCGAGAGGAAGAGGAAGAGAGAGAGAGAGAGCAAGAGATAGAGAGACAGTGAGAGACAGAGACAGAGAGAGAGAGAGAGAGAGAGAGAGAGAGAGCGAGAGAGAGAGAGTGAGAGAGAGCTAAACAATTCACAGAAAAAATTATATAATTTACAATTATGACAAAAAGTACACACACAATTAAATAAATAATTACCAATTTATCCACTCTAACTAGCCTATAGCAGTGGAACAAAACTGTTAAAATGATACATGTGTGTACTAATTTTAGAAGTCACAAAAGCACAGCACTCCAGAAATGTTTGTCCTTGGGAGAAACACTGAAGAAGAGCCCCAGATTTTTGCAACACCTCAAGAAGGTGAGATGAGAGCTAAATACATCACACTGAGAATCAGCCTGCTGACACAGCATTCCAGCAAACACACACACGCGCACACACGCGCGCACGCACACACACACACACACACACACACACACACAGAGAGACAGACAGAATGAGGCTGTGCTGTGGTTCCAGGCTCATTTCTGAGCCCAGCAGGACACCTAACAGCAGAACTGCTCAGGAAAGGCAGCACATTTGATTCGACGTTCTTCGCCTTCAGCCATTTTTCCCTCCAATTTGCACTTCTTACCAATGTAAAGAAAACTCCAGTTCTTCCTCGCTCTCCATCTCTCTCTTTTCCATCTTGGGCTCTTGTGTTTTCTCTCGGTGTGTGCGAAAATGCTCACTTTTAATGAATGTACAGCCAGGCGAACAGTTATAACATATTACCCCATTTAGATTCAAAGGACTTTAATTAAAATAATCGCTTCAAATATTCATTATGTTTAGCCCCCTGAGGTACAAGTAAAATACATTTCCTGCACCATAAATTAGTTTAATCTTCAAACGCTTGCTTAATTTGGAATAGAACGAACTAATTTCTAGGGGAGGGAAGAGTGTAATTTGTTGAATGAAATTAAAGTAATTTTTCTGCTGTAATGCACAACGGCACGAGCAATTAATTACACACGTGAACACAAAAGAAGAACTGATTTTGAAACCGATGTGCGATTTTCAAGGAAGGATGAGATAAAATAATGGTTTTGTGAATCTTAAAAAAATGAAGATCAATGATCACATGCCATTCAGAAGGACAGATCCCAGAGCGGGCTGAGGATCCTCTGCGATCCAGTGAGCGAAAGGGGCTTGCGAATGGCTTTAGCAGTGGCTCTGTAGCCATCCTCTGGCTGATTTACTGTAGGCGCTGTGAAATATAACTCTCTAAGTCCATTCTGTTCTGTGGAAGTGAGAAGAAGTTTTATCGTGCAAAAGGGCCTCCACACCCAGGCCAAATAAATCAGGATAACGGCCACTTAAGAGCCCTCCCTAGTGTTCACCTTCTTTTTTTACGCCCACATACTTTAACAATCGCCAGCAAACACGCTATTATGACCTAAAATACCATAGAGGTGGGAAAAAAAGACAGAGAGAAGGAACGTATTGAAAGTAGTAATTGAGAAAATAGATAAATCAAAGAGTGGTATTGCAAGTCTTCTCAGAATTAATGATTCCATGAGAAATAAAAACAGACAGAAATACTTCTGGAAACAGTTACGGCATGTTTTAAAATCCCACTTAAAATTGTTTCTCAGGCGTATGAGGGGCCAAGAAGGTTTGGGTGTATCCGAACGCTGCAGGTTTTTCTCAAAAGTGTGATCGATTCGCTCTACTGCAAAAGGCTCAAAACAAATCCCATCTCGTAAAACTAAAGAGAGCGCTTAATACACGGAAATAAAAACATTCTGCTCTTCGCTTGAAAAGCTCAGCGGCTCGACTAATAAGAGATATTAAAGGGGTCATATGATGTTTCTAAACAGAACATTATTTTGTGTATTTGGTGTAATGAAATGTTTATTTCGCTTTCGCAACGAAACACACAGCGTCTTCACAACATGGCAGCGGCGACAAAAACAATAAAGATACGCCTTCTTTCTTTGCGTGAACATTTGGGCAGTGTTATGCAAATCTTCCCATAGTGATGTAGACATGTGGGGGCGTGTTAGAACGAGCCGTTTTAGGAGGGCGTGGACCAGTCTTAACTTTTATAAAGAATATCTCTTTGGGTTTGAGACTTTAGTCTTTGCAACTTTAGGGATCTTATCTATTCACGAACAGCTTGTAACACTCCAAAGAGGAAGGAAGACTTGAAATCGCATCATAAATATGTTAGTAAAGAATGGGAACCAAGCAAGAACAAGCACAAAACACTCATTCTGTAAAAATAGTGCATGACTCCAGTCTCTTGTGTCCACCTAGTCACTAATGAATAAATACAACAACACCACAAAAAACAATGCCCCCCCCCTTAAAAGTGTATCCCACAGACCTGCTTTCTCACTTCTTACCTCTAATTGCGTTCAGATGCAACTTAAGTATATATATTGTGTTCCTACTTCACAGTCGTGCTTTCCTATATTTCTATTATTGTTCTTAGCAATCTGAATTTTAACTTGCTGATAAATCAGTCTGTGTAAGGCATATAATTACGATATACAAGTCAGCATGTTATGAAGTGTAAATATGCATATGAACATATAATCAGTATGAATTCACATGGATACGATACTCTATGACTTCTCTTATAAAACAGCATTTATTTCGTTGTGATTTCCAAACATAGCTCACTCCTAAATGAATGGCAAACACGATTCATAAATTCATAAAGCGATCACTTTTTCCTCACAAAAGTCGGTGTACTGAAATGAGGATATTGACGCCTCTCTTCTATTGACGGCTCCATTTAAATAAAAATAAATACAATTGAAATTCTGCTGGCTGATGGGAGAATATTGGGTGGGTGATCGCAGTGCTACATGAGAATGCAAACACATAAGAGAGAGACGTATGAAAGAGACCCCCCACTAACGACAGGACAGCAAATGCAACAGGATTACTTCAAAATAATGTACAGTCCTCAACTTTGCTTTATGAGTACAACTATGAGTTACTGATTGGAATCTGTAGTGTAAATACAATTAACAACTTATAACCACAAAGGCAGGGGCTTTCATGTTTTTCTCATCTTTTTTCTTTTTTTTTTTTTCTTTTTGAGGAATATTTTAATTTTTAACATGTTAGGAAGTTGGGGGAAAATGACCAAGTGGGAAAATAAAATGTGTACTTAAAAATGTGTTGCTATTTCCTACAGTGGTCCTATGAGGCTTTAAAAAAAAAAAACCTGTGCATTAGCCAGCAGCTGTTTCCTTTAACTAAGGGGACATTATTGTTTTTTTACGCTTATAAAATAATACTAACAAAATAAAAATCTAAATATTTGTAAAATTATTTTTAAAGTCAATGCTGGATCTGTGTGAATGAATGGATTCAAGTTTACCTACATGTTACCTACAAATATGCACAATATTCACAATCTCATGCCAAAATCCAGGCCTGAGGAACTCAGCAGACACATATCCATTAAACAACAGGCAAGAGAGAGACAGAGCGTCCCGTCTGTCTGTGAAAAGATGTCCCTCTATCCAAGTAGCTGCGAGGTGTTTGCATGTGATAGTTTTCTCCATGTAAATAGCCACTCCATCATTCTGACTTCCAGCTTTCATTAATTAAAATGATCACTGAAGGCACAGACCCGATCCAAGGAGCTCCTCTCCTGTCAGTCTCTGAGAGAGCAGAGATACAGAGAGGATCAATCTGTCTGCAATACAACACCACGCCACATCACTGCAATTAGTTGAGCAGCTGGAAACGCGTTCGCAGCCTCCACACTGTGACAATAGAGCCCTAATGAAGGCAAAGGAAGTGTGTGCGTGCATGTAATCCAACCGCCATCAATCCCAGCTGCACACTCCACGCAGCAAGTGTTTTCACAGCATTAATGAATTATTCATCCATCCATCCCTCCTTCCAAAGGAGGTTTCTAACAGGAATCACGCCAGTGCCTTCTCAAGACAACGACAATTACAAAACACAATAGGCCTCTAGAACCGTATCTACGCCACACTGGCACAATTAGTAATTAGTACTCTCGTAAAGCAGCCATGACGGAAACAGAGCCGTAAATGGCAGTGGGGAGTGTCTTATTGCATATGCCGAAAGCAACACTAAAGACCCTCCTCCGAACGTGCTTAATGTAAACCACATTTAGCGAGAATTTAACACGAGAAGGGACTTTTATAAGCGCTTGTTAGGTGTAATTGAAATCGTTCTTCTCACCCAGTACCAGTATAAGTGCTGGGTCGCTGGCTGTAAATCTGAACCCGTTTACCAACAGAGATGATGAACGGTGGGCTAATCGTAACGCCGTTTAATACAGATGCCGACCCATTGAGTTAATGAATAAGGAAATAGATCGGAGAGCGAGCAGTAAACAGTAAGACAGAGAGAATCAACAGAGAAGAGGGTCATGTTTTATAAGCTTCAATTACGCTGCTAAATTGTAGGTTTGCATAAAACAAGCCACACTTCAAGTCTACTTGACTCGAGGGAGGTGTCATAATAAACAAAGCATTTAATTGGCCCATGTGTTGAGAATTTCAGAGTGTGTGTGTGTGTGTGCGTATGTGTGTGCGTGTGGGATTAATGAGGTGTTTTTTGGAAGTTGCTTGTGCCGCCACACTTCAGAAAGGCATCAGTCTCACACTCCAGCAGCGTTATAAAAGCCTGCAAGGGTTTCGCTGCAAACACAGGCTCTAAATTACACACAGGAACAAGTATACCCACATATGCCCACTCAAGAACAACAGGCCTGGAACACATGGTTGAGAACACACATTACCATTAAAAAAAATTATAAAAATGTGTAGGATTTACTTTGAAACTGCTAGTAAATATAACAAATAATTACAAAGAAATGACAAGAAACCTATAGAATTAAAATGTTTAAGCAGAAAGACTAAAACAGTATGTTCTTGTAAAAACTTAAATTTTTTACAATGTAGACACATACTGCAGTGTTTGATTATAAATAGGAAAAAAAACTATTTATATTTATGCC